TTTGCATTATCCCAACCATGAGTTCTCATGTGACATGAATATGAGAACTCTTCGTTGATCGTGTTCAGTGAACTCATTCTCTATTGAGCACCTACGTACTTGTCTTGATGTCACACACACCAATGACTCGAGACTAGTCACTCTCCCTGAGAGAAGACATAGCACGTACTGATCTTAACGGACTGTCAATGCCCAATTGACAATCCTATGATCAGGAACGTTTAGGATGTGTCAACGAAAGAATGGTCTTATGAATCTAACTTCTTTAGATCGCATTCTTCCAATCACATATTCCTTGGACTTATCGTTTAAGCATATAACATTTATATGAGACGGCTCAAACAATAATCTTTGCCCTTTACATTTAAACTACATTAGTTTGAAATGTCCGTAAAGTATCATCATATGATTGGTTTTAGGGCACATTTCCAACAAAGCTATGGTCTTATTAGGCAAGCAAAATTTGAATATCTATCTAGCCTACATACAGATCGCTCACATAAAGGATTTATATTTACATATGGAAATAAAGTAATCCAACAACGGTCAATGAAGCAAAGTTTTAATGTGGCAACCGATATGACGTATGGGCATTCAATGCGGAGTGTTGTAAGAGCAGTGTGAATTCCCTCTATAGAAGCAGTACCCACTTGAAGGCTTTGGACATCAAGTCGTAGTTGGTAGGTTCATCACCTCACTTGTGTATTTAATATTATTAACTAATGAAAATGTGAGGCATAATGAAGAAAAGATAGTTGGCCATCTGCCTATAAAACCAAGAGAAGTAGCACAAGGAGTAGAAGAGAAGATATGGAAGAAAGAAAAGAAATAAAGGAGAGAAAAGAATGGCTAGAGAGATAGAGAGAAAAATAGTGATAATTGAGAATTATCTTTCTACTCCTATTGTTTCAGATAATCAGGAAAAGTAGTACTGTTGCCTCGAGAACGTAAGCACACTTTTCGAACCTCGTAAATATTAAATCTATTTCCTTTATATTGCACTGTACACATCCTCAATTTCACAACAAAAAGATAACTTTGAATCAGTTATTGCTCTTCTCATATCAAAGGAAATGATGTCTATTCCTTTTTTATTTTTCATACAACCCGTTAAAATATAAAAAATGACTAATATATTATCGATTTTTTATTCAAAAAATAATTAAGAAGAATGACATGGCAGAAATTGGGGTGAATTACAACGGTCGAATATCTTTATGTGAAATATCCAATGATTGTGGGTAGACTTAGAGTTAGAGAGCTATATAGTACAAATAGACATGCATTTTAAGCAGTACAGAGTAGTACTCACCCCCCAAATCCTAACATGTACTGCGGTGTAGTACAAGTACAATTGAGTGAAGTACTCCGTTCAGCCGGGGATATAAAACCCACGGGATATCACTTGTGGTATCACCAAGCGGTCCGCATAAGCCATATGTCAGAAGGGTAGAGGAGTCCCACGGGGGTAACCTGAGATCACATACATGCAGGATCTCCAGAACCCCAAGCCACTGGTGTTCATCGCCTTCAACGTGTTCTCAGGTCGCCCCTGCAGGGCTTCCCTCTACTACACGATCATGCTTAATAAGGATTTGACGAGAAAACGTCCTCCCCTGGATTGCAAGTAATTTTTTATACAAATCTTGTCATTGTATTTGAGGTAAATAGCTAATATATTTGTAATTCGTGAATGTACTAGTGCTTGCTGACATTGGTACTACTTCTCTTGAATATCAAAGCACAATGCGTTGATGAACTGAAATGCTCCACCTGCCAACTTTATGAAACTGAACACTGATTGTTTCAGGTATATATGCCTCGCAATGTTCCGAATAGCAATAGGCATCGATATAAAGAGAAAATATGACACCGAATATGACTAGAAACATTATTCAATGATTTTTTATTTTCCCTTCGTCTTTCATCGGTTGTATTTCTCTTTTCTCTTTCATCCTGCTTTTTCCATTTAATTGTTTATATATCATCATGTTAAACTTCTTGTACATGTCAATTTTTGTTGTCGTCGACTCTAGCTCTGGCTGGGTCGATGGCAGTTTTTTATTTCGTTGTGTTTTTTCTGCTATGTTTTCCCCTTCCTCTCAATCCTATTCTAGTCTGGTCTCCGGGCGATTAGAATGGGGATGCTTCGTCGAGAGTCTGGAATCGGACCAGACAGATTTTTCTGCGGAAGCGCCTGCAGCTGAGTTCTAGGTTGTTCTCGGGTTTTCCTGATTTGGGCTCAACCTTTTTTGGGGCCTTTTCTGTTTTTTTTTTTTGCTATTATTTTTGGTTTGTATGATTTGTCCCAGTGTTTTGTAAGTAGGTGTTGCTTGTTTAATAAAGGTAAACCTTTGGTTGACCAAGAAAAAAAAAAAGAAAAATTTAACGAAAAGCTCTTGTACTAGTTAGGCCATCCGTTTGGAAATTCCTAATTTTGCAATATTAGTGCAGGGAGTATTTACTTTCTTTGTTTTATTCTCCATATATTTATTTTGAGATAGGTTGGCCTTAAATCTTACTACAAAATAAGTGTTGGGTCTAAAATTTGAATTCATCCCGAAAATTTGTAAAAACAATAACCAAAATTTGTACTTCATATAGGATTACAACTATCATTGTAAGTTTATGATAATTATAACTAAAAATTGATATAAAAGTACTAATACATCCTTAATGACTAAAAACTTCTCCATTAAGAGTGAAAAAACCATAATTTGGAAATTTTAGACGTTACAATTGATGGTTTGATACAGACAGCGTGTTGGTGAGAGAGAGAGGGCAGTGAGGAGAAGGGGTTCCTAGAGAAAATTTCGATTACAATTTCTGTTGGACTCGCCGCAACTTGGTTTAGTTGTATCTCAGTAAAAGTAGTGTGTTAGTAGTGTTTTAAAAATTCAGTTGCTCAAGACACGAACACCAGAGGTAGAGGAGAAGAAAGAGTTTTAACTTATGGTTAATTATGTATTTTTCCCTTTAATTTTGGTTAATTTTATAAGAATTGGAAGCTATATTTCATTAGGTGGATTCCCAAAATAACTATATTTCCTAATTAATCCTAATAAATAATCTAATTTTCCAACTCCCTTTTTACTTGGGAGTACTGAATACGCCCATAATTCTGAGTTTCATGTTACTCTTACTCCTACCAAGATACATGTTAGATCCAGGGTATTCCAATTCGATTGAATGGAATGATAGTTTCTCATTTGGAATCTATAAAAACAAAATTTTAATCAAATCACACATCGCAATATACTAGGTCTTATAATTCTTTAAGAGGTTTATCTAAAAGATTCGCAATATAACTAGAAAGACGTTTCAAATACCACACATGGGTTACTCGGCATGCCAGTTTGATATAGCCCATTTGATATTTTCATATTCGAGAATCAACAAATTCGACTCCATACTATTCACAAAATCTTGGATCTTTTTTCATCTCCAATTACTTGATAATTTCCACAAGCACAAATCTCATTTTTTATAGGCCCAAAAATTCTTTCACAAAATAATCCATCCTTTTTCGGGTTTATTGGTTTTGTAATGAAAAATACATGGTTTTCTTAACTCTCCAACAACCTCTCCATTAGGTAGGGGCCCAAGCACTTATTTGGTGAGGAGAAACCAATCTAATTCCAAGTTGTTGATGTTTATACCGATCGATCGTAGAAGAAAATTTTTGATTCTTAATCTTTCTAGATTATGGAAAGGCCATGGCCAAATTTAAATTTTTGATTCTTAATCTTTCTAGATTATGGAAAGGCCATGGCGAAATTTGTAACAAAAGGTTTTTCTTTTTTTTTTTTTTTTAAATGTACGATATTTAACAAAAGGTGCTTAAGCAGTTTGGTTTGACGGAAGACACGGCATGTTGGGGTTCATAAATATCCAGACAATTTTGGAGATGAGGTTTTGAAGATTCTGAATGCGGATTGGACATATTGTTGACCTAAATTTGGGTTGTAATGGTACATATGGAACGCTCTTTTTTTCACATCTAATGTTTCCCAATTGATTTTCTTTGGGAATGTTTTTTAACAAGGCCCACATTGCATGTCTGCGAGTTCTTTTGGCATTGGAAGACCTATTGCAGACAGGATTGATTGTTTGTGTATCTTTTACTTTTTTTTGTTATGTCCCGTAATAATATCTCATGGTATTTAAATAAAACATCTATTCCATAAAAATTGGCTAATGAGAACACCATCACCTTCATAACGAATTCGAATGCATATCGACTTTGAGTCACCAAAACAAATCGACAACATACCAAAGCAAACTAAGAAAAAACCTTTATTTTTGCATAGATTTGCAAAACCATCCTCTAGCGTCGTATCATCACCTTCTTACATTTCAAAACATATGTCACAAAATGGATGTGTCTAGATCCTAACCCTCAAAGGATTGAGGAGGAATTCCTTAAATTGCCTCGTGATGATTCACTACACTTCGTACTTACGATCAAAACATTCATATTATAATCACTAACTTTACCAAAAATCAATTATAACTAAGATTGTTTTCATTAGTTATCAAACTGTACAAATATAAACTGATTTAGTAAAAACATAACAAATTGTCTATTTATTTGGTACAATTATTTGACTAAACATTATTAGTTTTATTGATTTTTATAGAGATGATTTGTAATATGAACAATTATTATAAACACAGAATTATGTAAATAGACCACGAGGTATTTTGAGGAGGCATTCCTCCACAATATTTGAGTAGCCAAGCTCTTCTCATCAAATAATGTATGGTGTACCTCACATTTATTATGAACAATGCTTAGCTACTTAAGAATGAGTATGAACTTCTGCTCAAACTCTTTGTGAATCACGTAGTTTTGTACTTATGATCATGACCGTTCATATTATGAATCATTATATAAAGGCCATTTATGTAAATATGAATTAAAAATTAGATCGTTTAGTCAATCTGTTGTAGCAAATACATAAACGGTTTCTAATACTTTTACCATTTTGTTCATTTATTTTTAAACAGTTTGATGACTAAAAGATCTTATTTTTAATTGATATTTGCAGAGGCAATTTTTATAAATAATTTATAATATGGTTTTATAAATCGACAACGAATAATTTTGTGTAAACGTTCTCATCCTTTTTCAAGTTGACGCCAGGCAACAGGCAACTACTATTCCTTTTCTATTTGAAAGTTACTAAAGAACGACAAGGCGCCCAAAAGCCAAAATGAGAATTTAGAGATCACACTCCCGCATTTTCAGACTTATCCCAGGACCCAGAGGTTAAGGAGTAGTGAAGCTTGAAGTATCCAATCCATGGCCTCCAGCTCCAGTCCTCAACGGCTCGTCTCTGTGTTGCTTTTGTTTCTTCTTCTCTTCTCCTTCTCCTCGATCTTGGAATCAAGCCAGGTATTCACTTTCCGTTTGGTTCCCGAGAAAATTAAAAAGAAAAACCTCAGTCCTTTTGACTACTTTGTTATTTTAACGTGTTTCAGTTCTGTGATGCTGGAATTGGACATGGTGAGTCAACCTGTGGGGTATCGTCGTCGTCGTCGTCCACCAAGCTGTTGATCAAAGGCGCGACTGTAGTGAATATTCAGTCTTTTTTCTTTCTTTATTTGTATTCTTGTTTTTGTCAAAATTGAACTTATTCATGGGTTGTTAATTATGCTGGCTGCCCATTGAGTTTCAAAACATAATTTTTTGAGGGTTGAATCTAAAAATATCTTAGTATTTATATTTGAGATATTGGGATTTTTCAGGTTTGCTGGATATACTTTGTATTGGCTGTTAGTTTCTCAGTCCCTTAAAACAAGTTTCCATCTAGTTTCTTTATTAGTTCTGGACTACTGGATCAATGGAATCCATTGTCACCCTTTTATTTTCCGCCCGATAAAGTACCATAAGTTAATGTGATTATAGGAGGACCTTTTAGCCTGTTAGTGTAATTCATTCAACTAGTTTTGTGGTGGTGACTTTAGGCACACTGGATATCGTTACTTCTCAACCCACCCCCTCGAAATCCCATGATATTTTTTTGGAAAAATCTTGAAAATGTTCAACACGTGTGATGTGCATCTGTATTTAAAGATGTATTTGTAAGTTTAGGGAGAAATTTGGTCTTGTTTTATTGTGGAAGTTGGTTGACAAGATTGTTCAAATTTGGTTGCGAGGTAGGTTCCTCCATTTTGTGTCATTTTTCTTGTATTTGTTAAAGAGAATGTTGAAGTACGTGTAAGTGGCAAGGCAGCAAATAATTCTCATGTATATATACATGGATGATGTTATTGGCACTCCAAAAATGTCATCGTCCACTCCACTATACAAATTTTTCCTTCTGTTGTATATAAATTTGGAGTGTGGGATAATGACCTCTTTCAGAGTGCCAATAACAGGTCCCATATATGATAGACGTTTTGTGAACAATGTGAGCTTGGCGCAAATCATACTTATGTGTGTATATAACTTCTCATATGCTCCAAGCCTCCGAATGCTTTATGTACTTTTCTTTCCTTTTCTTTATGCTCTACTTGATTTGATGTCAATGTTTTACTCTACTTTTGTTTTTGTTTTGTTTTGCTTTTTTTTTTTTTTTTTTTTTTTTTTTAACCAAATGCCATTGGCAGGAAGGTGATGATGTTATTGTGCTTGATGCCACTGGAAAGCTTGTCATGCCAGGTCATTTTCATACTACACCTATGTAATAAGATTACTCCTGCTTTTAACTAGTCAGAATTGGGGGAGTCTATAATAAGGGACATGATGTGTGATTAGGGAATTGAATTTTTATGTAAAAAGCTCCCAACGCTGTTTTTGGCACAGGGTCTCACCACTCTATCATGTGTCTTCCAGCTGTTCTTGTTATGCAGTATTAAGTATCCTTGTATACTGAATAAAGACTTTCATTATGTAATACCCACCTAGGCATGGAATTCATGGGTACAGAAACCATGGATGATTTCTTCAGTGGTCAGGCCGCAGCATTAGCTGGTGGAACAACAATGCACATCGACTTTGTTTTACAAGTTAATGGAAGTTCATTGTCAGGGTGGGAAGCTTATGAAAAAAAATCTACGGAGTCCTGCATGGGTTATGTTTTCCATATGGCAATTACAAAACGGGTTGAACTTCAAAAGAAATGGAAATAATGGTCAAGAAGAAAGGTAGGCTCTTATAGTAGTTCCAGCTTTTATTACGTGGAGTTAATTATTGACTGTGCTATTTATGTAATTCGTATCCTATACTCAGGTATAAACTCCAATTTTTCATGGCCTACCAGGGGTCCTTCATGGTCAATGATGAGCTTCTACTAGAAGGGTTCACGAAGTGTAAGTCTCTTGGTGCGTTAGCTATGCATGAAGAAAATGGACATGCTGTATTGAAGGACAGAGAAGAATGATAGACATGCTCTTTCAAGGACATGCTCTTTCAAGGCCCCCAGTGGTAATTATAGAAGTAAATTATTCATGCAAACATAATTTGGATAAAATGAAAATTTCTCTCAAGTTTAACCATGCTGTATGAGTTACCGCTTCTGTTGCATGGCCTTGTGGCAACATAAACATACAATTTTATTAATCTTACAAATCAATAGTCTGCCTGCTATATCAGGTCCATCTTATGTGTAAAAGAATTTTGTTTTGAGGGTCTTACTATCTTTGAGAGACTACTACAACAAGCAGGATAGGTGCTTCTATATTATCCCCTCTTCAGCTGCATGCAAAGTAATAATTGTCTTAATACCGGTTCTATTAGGACATGAATATGAGACTATTTAAGCACTTATGCTTTTACGTTGATGTCATATTAATGGCAATTCATTTGGTAAATTTGTTCTTCCTATGATGTTGTTCTTTTAGTTATCTAATAGTTATTTCCAAGTATATGAATCGCACATGGTAATGTCTGATTCAATATAAGTGCCCATGCAGCTGGAAGGAGAGGCAACTGCTTGAGCAATTCGCCTTGTAGGTTTTGTGAATACTCCCCTTATGTACTTCACGTGATGAGCATTCATGCTATGGAAGAAATTTCTAAAGCTCGCAAATCAGGTCCATAGTATCTTATATTTCTTGTTGTGTTACATTTATTTCTCAGCAGCTTTAGCTTTCTTCTGTTGGTTTGGAACTATCTTGTTCTTGGTAACTAGAAGCTCTACCATTTCATTTGTTGGTTCTCAAAATTCTTAGATTGGCTGCTTCAGTAACTCTGTAGTAGATCATGGTATTCAACCAATTTCATCATCTCTTTTTGTTTTGTCCGAACCAAGTTCATCGTCTAAAATTATTGTTTCATGTCTTAATCATGTTCGATCATCCTTTCCCAAAGTTCCAAATGTGATTTGGACCAAGTTCTTATTTTTCGGTTAAAAATACTGAGTTGTTGAAAGGGTTCCATATATAGTATTGCAAGAGTTTATGCATCAAGCCAGAGTGCAATTTGGCACGTGAAAAGAATTTCTTATCCATGCTGGTGTAGATTTCAGTAGTTCTAAGAAGTGACCATTATTAGACTTGTCAATTGGGATATGTGCCTCTTCATCATATCCTAGACCAAAAAGATAAAATGAAGACTTAACAGAAAGAGTACAATGAACAAACTAAGAGAACAAGTTGCAAAATAAATGTGGTTAATAAAGAGCGAAGAAGCTCATTAAAATTGAATATTATCTTTTCTACAATTTTTTTTCCATCGGTTATTTTGAACAAGTCATTTCATTATGCGTCCTCAAACTGTTAGTTTTGAGTTAAGTACACTCCAAATATATCTTCCTGACGGAACACCCTATCTGTTTGTTTTTTAACTTCATCTGGGAAGAAAAATAAATTACTACTAAATTGCAGCGCAGAAAGTGATTGGCGAGGCAGTAGTTTCTGGGCTTGTGCTTAATGATTCTTGGCTTTGCGATACCAACTTTATCACTGCTGCTAAGTAGGAATTCTCTCTATTTAATTTATGGTATGTTCTGCCAGTCAATAGAGCTATGTTATGTTTCAGGCATGTCATGAGTCCTTCTATAAGGGCAGCAGGGCATGACAAAGCTCTTCAAGTTGCTATTTCAATGGGAGTTCTGCAGGTTTTTCTTATTGCCACCTTATTTTGGGAACTATCTGATTTGGTCCGCAGGGCTTCTTGGTAATGTTGTGATTTATTCCCTTGTATAAGGAGTTACTGTAAATAAAATGACAAGTTTATGGTTGTCCCTTGACAGTATTCAGAGCCAGATTTTGACCTAATATCTAGAGTACTTATAATTTTCAGTCGTCTAAACTTAATAGTGAACAAATTTGTTTTATGAAAATATGGATGCTTCTGAAGATAGATTCTGCAATGTGCAGCTTGTATGAACGGATCGTTGCATCTTCAATTCAACACAGAAAGCTCTTTTGGATAATGTTTTTTTGTAAATGATGCTACTCTCAGGAATCTGGTCAAATTTCTCTCACTGATTATGTATGGTTGACGAATACTGAATGGTATGCTTGCTGTGGTTTCCTTGTTTATTATATGATTCTGAACTTCTAAGATAAGTTTTACTACATAATATTCATTATGCTGTCTAAATGATGTGAAACTGATTTCAATGTCAACGGTACTTCAGTGCTAGGGCTTTCAATATATCTCCTAGGAAGGCAGGAGTTCGCGAAGGTTCTGATGCAGATATAATTATACTAAACCCAAACTCAAGCTTTGGGATCGTGCGAAGTGGCACCACTCTAGAACAGATACCAATGTCTACGAGGGATGGAAAGGGAAGGTAATCATTTTCACATGAGGGATATGCTTGATGAGTCAATGTCATATTATATATTTTACTCTATTCTTGGTATGTTATGGTAGAATTTTGATTACTTTGTTTTATATTTTCAATATAGGACATTCGACTTTGTCTGGATCAAAACATGATCAAACGAACGAATGTTGGAGTGCTTCAAATTGGAGGACATTCATGTGTCCCTTGGCGTGTTCGTGTCAAAATTTCGGCTTTTTTCTACCAAACGGTTATTTTCTGGCAATGGAATAAAGAAGTAGTGCGCGGTGTTGGAAAGTGACGTTTCTGAGCTTAGTTGCGATTTTTGGAGCCCAACCTCTGATGGGTTCGTGGTCTTCTGGAGAAGTGTTAAGAATATTACAAACTTTAAATCCAGCTATATTGGGCTTGTTTTGGGACAGATATGGGTTCAAAACGTGGCTGTGCAGATTTTGGGCGAATTTTATTATTTAATTTAGGGTTATGTTTCCTATTTTAATTTAATTTATTTGGTTTGCTACTCTTGATGGAAGACCTTTTATTAGGAAAATTTAATTTAGGGATCTTTTGATATAGGCATGCCAGTTTTGAATTTTCTAGATCAAACATTCATGTCTTTTAGTGATTTGATTGAACTTTTTTTTTGTCATAATTGTGGTGCATATGCACATTATATTGTATCAAATTTCCTATATCTAGCCTTTTGATTACACTCTCCTCCGTTAGAGATAATTGTAACAAAAAAAATAAAAAGTTGGTTAGATTCAATTTATTTTCACAATAATGCTACAATTTAGTAATAATTATATACGATTTAAAATATTTTCTTTCTAAAATAGTTTAAAATACTATTAAATCCACCAAAATCAAACTTACCGAAATAAGTTTTTCTTTTAGTACGTGTTGACCCTAAAAACTACCAAGCCTACGTGGCGCATAGGCCGAGTAACTAATAAGCTAACTACGTCATTCAGTTGAGTGCGGGGCGTGCCAACTCGTCACCCGAGCTCGGCTTAGGAGTAAAATTTGTTGGTGTTGCGTTGAGCGCGTTGCTGACTTCTTTATCTTGTGACTGCGGCCAAGGAAGGAACAAATCTCGGCCTTTGGATTCTCGAGCCTGAAGACAAGGCTGCTAGTTCTGCGAAGTTCACAAATTTTCGGTGCCGGATTCGGTCACAGTGATTATATTTGTGAGAGTATAAGCACGTCGAATCGACACCAGACTGTACGGACACAAGTATTCAAAGGTGATGTATGTCTTGATGGTGAATGTGGTTCAGCCGTCAGAATGCCGAACTCTGAAACTCACTCGTGAGTATCCGATCATTAAATCCCTTGGCGTTCAATACGCCGAATGTCGTAACTCGTAACACCTTACTTTGCCGAGAAGGCTAATAAGATGACCTCTGCCAATAAGGATTCAGAAACCTTTCTCGACCGAGACTTGGATAGGTAACCAGTTAGCCTCGACGCAGTGCTGTTTATCCAAACTGAAGGTGCTCCTCAGTCGGCTGATTCTACGGCGACAGTGCTGTTTATCCAAACTAAAGATGTGTCGGTGGGAAAAAGAAAATAAAAAAAATCTCAAGATGTTTGAGAGGTTTTGCGCAAGGCAGTTGTGTGTTCAATTGGATGTCTTTATTTGTTGCATGATGTCTTGTATTTATAGTACTAAATCCTTCTTGAGATCAAGTTAAAATCATATCTGGATTGGGGCTTCTTATTCCGTTCCAACTCTGCTTTGACCAATCCTTCCCCCATCAGGACTTTGGGGTTTCTTATTCCGTTCCAACTCTACTTCGACCAATCCTGCCCCCATCAGGACTTTGAACTCACCCCTTTTCGAGGCTTTATTCATTGTTGGTCGAGAATCCTAATTGCCCTAGGACTTCCTCAACCCTTTTGCTTATTCGAACTACTCCTTCTTGTGATAGGACTCGACCATCCTTGCTGAATGGCCCGGGATCACCATACAGCCCACAATATTTTTGAAACGGCTTTGGGCCGAGCATAAACCTATACTTGGCCCAACAATATTATTTTGGGCCCAAACATTGCCCCCTCACTTCTGAGGTCGTCGACTACCAACCTTTGATAGAATCTCGACCTTGAAGAAGCGAAAGCATCTTTTGCCTTTAGACTTAACTGTTCTCGATAACCATCACTATGCGCATTTATGGCACGATCTCTGTTATTCCCGATGTCCTGCCACGTGTCAGAAATTAAACGGGAAAAGGAAAGAACTTGCGGCAAAGGATAGGAAAAAGGGAATGTGATTTAATTCTGAAATTAGGCAAGGATTTTGGGATAGAAAAGGTATGTGAGGTGTGGCTGAGATTGAGGTGAAAAGGGAATGTGTTTTAATGACTTAGAATAGGAAACAAGGACCTCCCTTGCACGGCAAGGAAGGGAAAGACAATGGGTTGCACGACAAGGATACTGAGGATGCAAGGAAGGCTTGATTTGTGTCCTAAATTGCATAGGAGTCTTCAATGTTGCTGAAACATAAGGTCTTTTAGGATTAGGAAAGGTTAAACCAAAATAGGAAACCTTGGCTTAACTTTCCTACTTCAAATAAGAAACCTTCTTTGATTAGGAATCCTCTTGTGATTAGGAATCCTAACATCTTTAGGTCTTCAATTTCATCCATTCCTTTTGCTCCAAGCATATGCTATCCATTCCAAGTCCAATTTTGCTCCAAAATGCTCCAAAATGCACCTTTTTGCTTCCTTAGCCATGTGAACCTAAAAACACACGAAAATAGCTTAAACTACTAAAATAACTATGAACTAACAACATAAATGCATGAAAACAAGCTAACTAAGTCGCCTAAATATGCTCCTATCAAGTTTCAATAAGCTTCTAGAACAACATCCGGAATGATCCAACGGTCGGATCTCCGCCAATTGCTAAAATTAAGTGGCGACCGATGTTTTATTTTACAAACTTATAAATCCAATTCGGGAAGATCCATACATTGGGTTCCTGATCCATGAGATCCTATTGTTCTCAAATATTACGTACTATAATATATTAAGGTTTGATGACGATCCAACGGTCGGATCGTCAATTCTTATAAGGATCAAGTGGCGGTCTCTATCAAAACTATGTTCAAACGATGCGATTTCGTCAATCAAACTTCACATCTAGAATTGGGGTATCCAATTTAGCCTAGAAAGGTCAGGGGCTGCCTCGGTCCATGCGTTGCCGCACGTGGCGGTCTGCTGTTCCGACTCGCCAGAAAATTCAACTATTTCTAAAAATTCTCAAATTTTACAAAAATGAAGATCTCAACGAGTAGAACAAATTTCATATCTATGCCCAAGTCCAATTTTGGCCGAGAAAAGCCCCAATTTAGTTTGAACTAGCAGGAAACCCTAAGGTAGGTGTTCTTCGATTCTCCTTCCTCGGTGTTCCAACTCCCTTACCACTGGTTGGGTCTTGTTCCTGGGTCCAAAGGAAGTTTATTAAGGGTGGTGGTGGGTGGTGCAACTCGCAGGAACGGAGGAATGGCCGTTGAGCACCTCTGGTGCTCTGGTGGAGTTCTACACAAAATAGGACCTAAAACCCTTCGATCTTGGGCGGAAATGGTAGATGAAAGGTTGTGAAAGAGGTTATAGGTGATGGATGGGTGTAGTTGGCCTGAAAAAATGGTGGAGGTGGCTGGAAATCACTTCTGTTCAAACTTGGTTACTGCGCGGGTGTACGGGTCTAAGGAAAAGCTAGGAGCTTTCTGTCCCTTTCCTGATTGGTCCCTCTTTCCTCCCTAATTTTTGATTGGCCATTACTCTTTTAATTTGATTGGTCTCTTCAACAATACATACCTAATTGGCCCGAAACCAATCCTTTAATTGGTTTTCATTCCCACATAGTGGGAGTTTGATTAATTCAAAACCTATAGTTTAGTAAAACGACGTCCGTAACTGTACCGTTATAATCCGAACTTGCAAACGGCTTTCATCTAGGCGTTTGTGGCGATGATTACTACGCAAATACTCCAAAAGAATGACTCATACTTCTCTCTGAACAATGGTCAACGGAAAGTCAAAATCCTTGCCTTTAGGGCATTTCGTCAATTCACCCTTTTAAAATTTATAAGACGTAAAATTAGGGACAGGTTATTACAATTCTTCTAATAATTCTGTTTCTTTTTTTTTTTGGCTTATTGTTTGAGGGTTATGTTTATCCTAATTTTTTTAGTGACGCATTGTAAAATCAGACATCATGCCTCCATATTTTTTTTGTTACGAGTGATATTTTTTGAATGTGAAAGTTTAAAACTAGACATTACTGCTCCATTTGATTCAGGTCCCTCAGAAGTTGGTGAGTTCATAACCGACCTTTTGATGTGTCGATATTCGGATTAACTGTACTCCGACCCTAACAAATATGGTCCCATCGTTATATGCTTGTTCTAATATTTTTAGTAACGCCTTGTAAAACCAGACGTCACACCTTCATTTTTTTTTTGTTATTTATTTATTTATTTATTTTTGTTACGAGTGATATTTTCTTAATGTGTACTAACATGAATGAGAAAGTTGAAACCGAGAAACAGTAGGCCGGTAACCTCACACCTCCAATTATTTATTGTGGATAGTTGTCAAGTAGTAGATCTTGAAATTGTACGTGCAGGCGAACGATTGGCTTGAAAAGGGCTGCTAGCGGTGGAGGCCTCTTTGATAACAGGACACTCAATCGGTTAACCATCAATGAACGTCACCCTGCTAACGGCTTCCTTTCTGGTTATACGGATTTTCCTCCATGTCCCAACTTGTTAGAGAGAGAGAGAGAGAGAGAGAGAGAGAGAGAGAGAGAGAGGGTTTGTTTAATATCCACACAAATGAAAAGGCACCACAGTACTATTTAAAGGTAACCTCCAATTTAACAATTATATAAGCATTTCTTCCTTTTTTCTTCTAGGTAATTTCAACTACCTGTTGGTTGATTTGCCTCTGAGATAGGGAGGGAGGGCAGTTGAGAGGGTGGGGGAGGATTCCGATGAAGATTCTGCTGAACTAATCCTCCTTGCCAAGTTCAGTTCTTCATAAAATAAAATAAAAACCCCTATTATCCTTTATCTTTCACTTCCACCCCCCCTCCTCATCTCCTTCTTCTGTCCCTATCTTTCATTTCTTTTAGGTGGTGGGTTTCACCTAATTTTTGGTACAATCTCCACAACAACCCAGATCTGTTTTTTTTGCATTATTTTCTTTTCTCCGTTTCAAAAGAGAATCAAAGATTTTGGAGATATGGGTCTCTGCATCTAGACTTATCTTAATCTTTTTATTTTTCTTGGGAATTCCAGGTGTCAGAAAACCCATATCAAATCTGGGTGAGTGCCCCACCTCCACTAGCTCTCTCTCCTCCTTCCTCCTTCCTCCTTCCTCCTACCTCTGAAGGCCAGCTGTTTAAGCTGTCTGTACGGCTGGGGTCCTTACCAATTTCTTTCCTTTCCTTTCCATTGAGCAAACTACAAAGCATTTGGCTTCCCTTCCTTCTAGTTGTTGCTGTTGCAGTTTGATCGTTTTCGGTCAACGCGATTCATTCATTCGGTCCAAGTCATATTTATGAATAATAAAATTTAGCCTTCTCTGTTCTTGGGTTAGATTGGCTTTAAGGGACTGATTCCCCAATTCCACCACCAATAATTTAGTTGATTTGTTGTTTTGGTAATTAACGACGAAGAGGAGGCCCACCGCTGGGTTTTGGTGGGCTTCGTCGGAACCAATAAAAAACCCATATATTGAAGGGGAGGGAGGGGTTGTTCAAGATCCTTACTTTTGCCTTGTACAATTTTTTTCTTAATTTTTTTTCTTGTTGGGGAAGGAACAAGTGGAGACAATTTCCTCCCAAAACATCAAATGTTTGATGTTTCTCCACCATTGAATTTGAGCGTGCTTATAAATTTGTAATGCTACTTTACTTGTTGATAACTTGCCTCTCCTTTCTCTTTTTCAAGACTCTTCCTCTCAAACCCCTCCCACCATGGGCTTCTGAGACTCCCTTGTTGTCGCTCTTCTTCTGGAAAGATTTCTCCTTCTTTGCCCTCTCCAAGTTCACGAATCAAGGCCTTTCGATTCTCTTTCGCCCTCGAATTCCTTCCAGAATGTCCCTCGTCAGGAGAACTCTATCCCTTTCTTCTTCCAAAGTTGAGAATGTTGATGACACGCCGGAGATGTCCGTGTTGGACTTGCCGGAATTGGTGTTGGAATGCATTCTCGACAAGCTTCCTCCCGAAGCGCTTTTTCGAATGACGGGTGTTTGTTCTTCTTTGAGGGAGAGATGCAGGAGTGATCACCTTTGGGAGAAGCACATGAAGATGAAATGGGGCAGAGTGATTGGTCCTGCTGCCTACAGGGAGTGGCAGTGGCATATTGCTTCAAAAACCGATTTGATTGATGTGAAGCAGGGAAAGCAGAAGGGCCTCATGAGAATTCTATCTCTTGGTTGGCCTTTCTCATGGATTAGATCCAAGGTTGATGATCATGGCAGCAAGCAGAGGTCTTCCTTGCCAGCTGATTCCATCATGGCTTGGTACCTTGCACTCGAGACTGGCAGGTTCTGGTTCCCTGCTCAAGTCTATAACCGCGAGGTATCCGCCAACTACGATGTGCCAATATGTTTCGATCACGACACAAAGTGTGTTTATTAATTTGGTTTGATGTTTGTTTTGTGTTGCAGAATGGGCATGTTGGTTTTGTGTTGTCATGCTATGATGCTGAGCTTAGCTATGATCCCCGCACTGACACCTTCCAAGCCAGGTAATTCGACTTACACCGTCCATTGATTTTTCTTATTCCTTATGTGTGTTGTTGTTGGTGTTAGCGTTTTGGTTATGGCGAGTTCATTTGTTCAGGTATCCGCCACACGGGAGGAGAGCGGTTGCGATTGAGAAGGGTGTGTCGTGGGAAAGGCTTAGAGCACCGCCGGTTGACACTCCGCCTCATGATCTTCACGTCTCCGACTGTTTGAATGAGTTACGGCCTGGTGACCATATTGAGATTCAGTGGAGAAGAAACAAAGAGTTTCCTTATGGTTTGTTCTTTTCCACATCCCTTCATCTAAATTTGAAGCTTGTGTAACATCCAAAGTTAACTTACCATAAGAGAACCAAATATTTTTATTTTTTTATTTTTTACGAAATATTTCTTTGGAGTTTTTAGAGCGAGTTTGGTATTGCTTTTTTGATCAAGTATTTATTGTTTACAGAACCAATGAGTACTAAGTAATTTAGTTACATTTATGGTGGTGTAAATTAATTATGTTGAAAATGAATAGCAAACAAATTGTTATGTTTCATTTGGTTGTATTGCAGGTTGGTGGTATGGCGTAGTAGGTCACCTCGAATCATGTGATGGAAATGAAAATTACTGCCTTTGTCATAATAGTGGTGAGTTCATTACTTTTCTGTTTTCTCCCCTCCCCTCAAAGTAGTAGGATCTTATGCTCTCTACGATTGGCAAATATGTGATCCAAACCTTATTTTCTTGTTGCTGTTGCTGTTGTTGTCGCTGTCTAGCTCGAAAACACTATTCTATGATTCCTACAACTTTCACCTTTTTTTTCCTTTCCCCAAAACATTTTCTCATCAATTGGACATAGCAATTTCGGATAAGAAAGTTTCTTTTTTTGAGGGCTTTTTTTTTTCTTTCTTTTTTTTCCTTCTTTTTTTTCCCCTAATGGGAGTAGAAATATGAAGTAGCTAGAATATTATGAATTCATTAGCAAGTGATAGACAGCAAGAAGAAAATAAGAATGCAATGCTCACTTAATTTCACAGAATAAAATAGATGCCCACAATTGTTGATCTTTTTTTTTTTCTAATGGGGTAAGGGCTAAGTGGACCACCTTTTATGCCATTTGATCGGACACCAACACAAATCATTGTCAGCATGTCATTATTTCCACCAACATTGTGCTAACTTTGTCTCGCGAGAATATTTATGGCCAACCACATTCGAACTAGTCAATGTTCCCTATGTCTCTGCTTTTTTATGTTTTGAATTGTGTTTGTTAGAGAGATTGCATATTTGTACTACGTTGGTGTATTATATAATGTTGCAAATAATGCATATAATCAACGTTTCAATAAGATAAATTCATAAATTAACTTGACATGTGCACATACATTACTTGTTGCATTAAATTGTTCACTAATGTAGTCTTCCTAATTAATCTTTAGGGATTACAATTTATATATAGGCATAAAATACCTTATTCTCGATAGAAACTAATTACAAAAGATTAAAATCAATTACAAATCCTAGTCCTACCAAATATAAGACTTCTACAACATAAAAGACTCACGTGAGCAATTTTTTTCCTATATTTTTTGTATTTTTCTTTTTATTGCAAAGTTGGAGTTGGAATATTCTTAATGCTTTTGGGGGGCTGCATGCAAAATGCAATGGTCAACCTTGGCCTTCCAATTTGTTATTTAATTAGTCTCCATCACACACACCCACCCACCAGCCAAGCAATCTTGCAAGAGATTTGTGTCCTCTTCTCACCACAATCAGACATTAACCTTTAAATACTAGTAAGAATTCCTAACCACTTTATTCAATGCAATCATATGTTTTGCAAGGGATGCAATCCCTTTTGTTTCCTTATAATAAATCTGTTGGGGTGCTTGGAGAACACATACAACAATGGAAAATACATTTCTCTTATATTAATTTTGCTTAACAAGGCAATTGGAAAAGCATCATATATTATCTCTCTTAATTTACATGGTGATTTATGCTTGATCTTGCCAGTAGTCATATGCTTGTCTCAAGGATTAAGCCATGCATGTGTAAGTAATGAACAAATTCAGATTATGAAATTGCGAATCACTCATTAAATCAGTTATAGTTTGTTTAATGGTATCTGCTACTCGGATAACCATAGTAATTCTAGAATAACCTTCACTTTTGAACAAAATAACCGTATTCCCAAACAAAAACTTGACTCGAAGAGATGCTGCCTGTATATGTCATTGTCAACAAATACCCTTCCCAATTTGTTTAGGACATGTCCCCAAGTGTTTCTTTATGTTAGCTTTCAGTTCAGAATATTTATGATCTTTTTGGTCAAGGTAGCATGTCTCTGCCCTTCTTGTACCTAAGTTCGAATCCCTTTTTCCTTCTCCTAGATCATTCGATCGGCAATTAGGGCCTTGAAAATTTGTGACAAATTTGATGATTTATGGTTTTGGACAGGCACAGTGGTGCTGGAGTTCAACCAGTACACACATGGTTCAAGGTGGAGATGCACAAACATCAGCAGAAGAGATCATCGAGAGGAGGGGAATGAGGCAGATGGGTTTTATGGGGGCATCAGGAAGCTCAGAAGCAAGCAGGAGATTTCCATGTGGAAGCTTATTTGGCCTACCCAAGTCTTGGAATAGTATAATATTTATATGCAACTATTAATCCACTTGCATTACGTGCACATAAGCAAGTGGATATCTGAAGCTACAAGTTTGGCATCAGATTCAATGGCATTGCCTCCAATCATTGTGGATTGGGGAGGAGGCGGCCGTGGTCTTTAGCTATTTTGTTCCCATTTTATTTTTCTATTTTTTCGTCGGATGGATTCTGATCCCTGTACATCGCCTCCAATTCATGTAACATAACTTATCCCACGGTTTGTAAAAGTGTAGTTGATCAATATTCAAAATGGTAATGCAGTTGCAATTTCTCATCTTGTTTTTCAATATTCAAGCTATTACTTTGGTGCTTGGTAATAAGGTCTGGTTATATTTCTCTTCACTTATAAGATGTTTTATTATGGTTGACCTTTTGTGTAACGAAGTTACCAATGCAATAATGGCTTTATGCTTCAAGGCACTCCACTGGTGATTGGGGTTATCATTGAACAAGTGTAAAGTTTTAAATTCAACTCTTGTGGATAAGTAAATGGTGTATTCAATACCAATTTATTATTGTTTAACACAAATCTAATGAGTTCAGTGTACATAAAAGCTTTGTGTCAAAACGCAAACTCTACCCCTCTCTCTCTCTCTCTCTCTCTCTCTCTCTCTCTCTCTCTCTCTCTCTCTCTCTCTCAGGTCATAGGGCTCTCTTGGGCTTCTTTGGGCCTTATTTTACTTTTAAGTCATACATGACTTAAACGTTAGATGCCCATATGGAATATAGTGGTAAATCTACTTTGTTAAATTTACAATGCAATGCGTTTTTAATCTAATTTTAGTATTCAATGTAAGATATTATATGTCAGCCACCTAAGTGATTGGCTAATGATTACTTCGTTGTGATTTTTAATTCATTTCCTTAAATCACCTTTATGTGCCTTAGTCAGGGGCTACCAAGTCACCCCACAATGACATTACACAAGCCATTATCGACACAATATACAATAGTTTTAGCAGATAGTCAACGCCCAATTGATAATCTAATGACTAAGAATGTTTAGAATATATACACTATTTGGGTTTGGTCTCAACAACCTCAATTATCACAACCTATATTCGTTTAGGCTTGTATTGTTTAATTATTAGCAAATAATAAGTAGATTCAAAGAGTCAATTCTCTGATTATCATTGTTCTTCCTTCGCTTTAGACAATTACCTTAAAATGTTTAGCTTCCCCGCAATGGAAACAACTATTTTCTTCACCTTGTTTTGTGTAAACTCTTTAAAGTTTCTCCTTTTAATTATTCTTTTTGAACATTGGCTGGTAAAGGACTGCCCTCTCTAGTAGTCTTGTCGTTATCCTGCCTCTGGTTTATTCTTTCTCTAAAGCCAATATCGTAGTTAACTTCTTTTTATTATAATTCAAAGCTCTAATACCACTATAAAATATCACAGGATCAATCTTGGTCGCCGTTAGTTTGTTAATTGCTTTGAAGCATTGTCAAGGGAGAAATAGCACACCTACGTTGGATGATTTGTGTGGAGAAATGAATTATACTTTTTAGACATTTATCATACTCTTTGTTGAGAGTTAATAGACTTCTATAGATGTAATTCTTTCAGGATGAAGTGCCGATTTAGTCTCTGAACTATCACCTCAGTAAAAATTAGGTCCTTAAATTATTATTTTTGATAAAATAAGTCCATAAATTCATTTAAAATTGCTAATTTCATCCCTACTATTATATTCAAAACTATTTGATCCAGTTTTTCATCAACTTTAGTCATTTGACACACTTTAAAGTGTAATACCGTCATTTCTCGTCTATAAGCCCTTAGCATTTTATATACATTGCGAAGCTAACGTCTAATTTACTCTCTAAAATTAAACTCATACACTATATCTTTATGAAAAATTACCAGTTTACCCTCAAATTTGTATCACATGCAAGTAATGTGACTTGAACTGAAGGAAAATTGAATATAGTAGCTTTGAATCTAATGTTAGGGATGTAATGGTAGAATTTTATAATTCAATGACTGATTTTTCTTAAAAAAAAAAAGTTTAGAGACCTAATTTTTGCTCATATGATAATTCATGGACTGGATTGACCGTTCACCTTTTTTTTTTTTGTGATAAGTCACTTCACTTGTAGAAGGGTTGTTGAACGATATACGATGCTCCTTTCTTGCAACATTTTCAAGCTGTCATAGTTCAAATATCCAAATCTCCTATGCCATTTCCAAGAATTGTCTTCAAGAGTAACATTTTTCCATTATAGGATCCACATATTCAAATGTAGGGGAAAGCACCTATTACCCTTCATTTTTATTGTGGCAATATGATCCTGCAGATTTCTGCCACCAAAAATACAAACCATGAAGTGCCCAAAAAGCAACCAATATCCATGTTCAACCATTTGTCCCACATTGAGAAGATTTCCATCTAAACCAGGTACAATCATCACTTCTGATGTGTACCTAGTTCCTTTTTTGGTTTCCATTATCAGAGTTCCTTTGCCAATAGAATCCACTATTTTGACTTTGCACTTCACACTTCAGAGTTCCAATGCCCCATTTTGACTTTGCACTTCACACTTCTGTCAACATTAATCAGCAGTGATTCAATACAAGTCACGTGGTTGCTGCAACAACTGTCTTGATTCCAAATTCCACAATTTCGATTGTACTAAGGCTTTGTGATAGGCATAAAACATTATGGCAGTGTCATGAACCAATTTGCATGGTTTGCTACTTAAGTCTTCTTTGGTTGGTGACAGTCTCTCATCGTGTGCCCAAATTTGTTGCAATTGTGACACTTAACCTTCCTTTTGAACCATCATTCTCCATAGTGAGCTTTATCACAGAAGTTACATTTCTTTTTACCCATTTCTTTATTCTCACCTTGCTTGTCAGCATGTTGTAATTTATTATCCCAATTTTTAGGCTTAGACTTCCAATTCTTCTTAGTTTTGCTGAAATTTCCTTGCACAAAGGACTTGTTCTGTGAATAGGAGTAAGACTCATACTAGCAAAGGCCTTTTCTAAGCCTATAGTATCATCTCCATGTCTACTTAGTTATAACTCACAGCTCTTAAGAGAACCAACAACTTCTTGTACAGTCACAGTATTCAAATCAGATGTTCTCTCAATTACAACACAAATTGGATCATACATACTAGATAGGTTGATAAGAACTTTTTAAACTTCTATTTGGTGAGAGAGATTTTCACCATAAGACTTCATTTGATTTATCAACTAAAATAATCTAGTATGATAATCAGATAGAGACTCATTTTCTTTCATTCTTATGTATTCAAATTCACGACGCAAACTCTGAAGTTGCACAGACCTTGCCTGTCCACAGTGGCCAAGCCAAAAATTGTTAGGGGATGGGGTGAAATTTGAAAGGGTAAAAGTTCAAAAATAAAACTGGACATCCATTCGAGGTCTAAGTCTAGTGGTTGCAAGAAGATTATGTGAATTACCTGGAATATTCAAAGAAAGATTTGGACTCCGAAATATTTGAAGGAGGATTTGGACTAACCGAACTAATTGAAAGAGGTTTTGGACTACCATAATATTCAAAGGAGGATTTGAATTAACAATAATATTTGAAGGAGGATTTAAGCACCATTTTCTTGTTGTATAATTCCATTACATAACTGTATTATGAGCAAAGTTCTAAAAGACGCTAAGCACTAGTTGTCAGTTGACATGGCCTAACATTTAGGCAAGGACCTAGGCAAATTAGACAATTTTAAATAATTTATTATATATCGCATAAATAGTGCATGTTTATTATATATCACATAACATCTAAAAATATTGACAATAAACATATAATATCTAAAACTATTGATAAATGTTCTTTTGTTGAATTTGATGGTAAAATATAAAAATACAAATGATTATGAGTTCGTATTAATTTACGAAATACTTTTTGAAGCTCATATAAATTTCTACTGAGTTCTAAGAGAAATAACGGTGTTACATACAAGACTGTTTTTTTTTTTTTTTTGAACAATTGATATTATCTATACTAAGGGGTTGGGGGTGAGCTAAGTCTCACAATGGGCTTGCAATAATATGGTTCAAATTTGCATTTGATGAGAATCGAACCTAAGACCTCTCACTTACAAGTGAAGAGGAATACTACTAGACCGTAGTACTAAGTGGCAAAATACAAGACTTAAAAACATTGGAAAAGTGGACAAATTAATTGGACAATAATTAAAAAACAAAACAAATCTTAGTATAATTTAACCTATGTAACTAGAAAGCTAGGTGGAGCAAATTGATTGGCCAATAATAAAAAAAACAAAAACAAATTGGATATTTTATGAAGGACACATGGGGTGGGATGGGAAAGAGAGAAGGTCTCCTTTCTTCTTCATTGGAACTCAAACCAAAAACTCCAACTCCAGACTCCATTCCTCCTTTCTTTGTCTTGGGCATTTTGGAGAAAAAGAGATCTCGTGCACAGCTTGTATACGCAGCCGAAACCATCGCTCCTAGGCATGTATTCCAACGAGACCAGAGGGGTAGACCATCAATCTTGGGCATGTTTTCCGACGAGGGGAGGTGTGGCCGCACCTCCATTCGTCTCTATAGCTTCACCACTGCTTGTCCATTACCTTGAAATTCTTCTTGAAGAATATCACAAGCACCTTTGGACGTCTCTTGGTTCACGATCCAATTCGATTTTGCAGTCACTGTGGATGCAAATTTTTGCCTTCTTTTGATTGATGAATCTGCACCTGCAAAATAATAACACCTAAGATTAAGGCCAAATGCCTCACGTGCCCACAATGAAGTGGGGATGGGGGCTTTGGCCGAAGAATTTCCAATGCCAAAGTTAGAATTCTGAAAAGAATGTGTTTGAGTGTTTGTGGGAAGCAAAAAGTCTCTTTAAGGGTAGCTAAAGCTTCTCAAATTTTGGAGATAAATGGAGAATTTATAGGAGACGAGAGAAGCGTGGGTCAACCCTCTAGGGTTTAGAGGTGGCTGGCCCTAGGTGGTATTTTGGGTGAGAATATTCTAAGATATTTGTGTAAATAAATATCCTAGAATAAATAGGTAAATATCCTAAATAAATGGAATTAGGATAACTTACTTGAAATAGGTCTTCTTTGATTAAGAATGTATTTATGATAAGAATAAGGGATTATTTTATCATAAATACCTTTGACTTTTCCTACGGGTAGAGGTGCCTTGAGCAGTCGTTGATCTCTGCCTGCTCTACCTCAGTTGCACGTGGTGAATGAGGCTGCTCCCTGCTCATTTAATAGGGGCAATCCTGTATTTCTTGAAAAATAATCCACGCGTC